CAGGGTCCTGACTGCCCCTGAGTCCCTTGGCCCGGGCGCAGCGTGGGGGCGATCTGGTTCACCGACTGCAGCAGCCCGCGCTGCTCCCCTGGGGCCGGCTCGGGGAGGAGCAGGGCGGAAGGAAAAGGTCTCCCAGGGGCCTCAAGGCCCGGTGGCCACGCCCAAGGGGAGGCTCCGCCCCGGACGGGGCTCCCGGGGGCGGCGGGGTGGGCGTGAGGGGCCCCTCGAGGGCGCGCGCTCAGCCGTTGTTGTGCTGTGCGAGCCCCCGCTGTTGCCGAGGTCCGCCCTCCACCCAGCCCTGAGCGCCCACGGGAGTGGCGGTGCCCTGAGCGGGAGCGTGGTGCACGGACACAGCATCATTTTTGTGTTTTTGTTTTGAGACGGGGTCTCACTATGTAGCCCAGGCTGACCTCGAACTCAGGGCGATCGTCCTGCCTCAGCCTCCTGAGAGCTTGGCGTGACAGGCGTGCGCCACCCTGCCCGGCTGCATAACGCATTTGAATTCTTTTTACTTCTCCCTCCGCTGCCCTTCCACCCCCAGGTCCCTCTGCCTTCTGCAAAAGGTCTGTCTCCTGTGTGACCTTCAGCTGGCTCTGTAATGGATTCACCCGCCGGGTTTTCCCCTGCGATGTTGCAGCGTGTGTGTCTGATGGATTTCACTGCACATTCGGACGCCGGGAAGACAGACGGACAGACAGACAGACAGACGGACAGAGGGACAGATGGACGGACAGGCAGGCAGGCAGAGACGTGGCCGGTGTGGTCCTGCGTACCCGCGTGCCTCGGCCTCCCTGATCGCGATTTCACAGTGAAATAAACAAGGCGGCCGCAGGGAAGGGGAAAGCCCCAAGCCCCGTGCTGCCGCGCGCCCCGGAGTTCCTCTTGACGGGCCGGGGAAGGCAGCCGCGCCGCCCAGCCTCTCCGCCGCAGCCCCGCCGCCGCCGCCTCAGCAAGGCCCCCGCCAAACAGGAGGGTTTTCTGAGGCCGTGCAGGTGGCCTGGGGTCTGTCTGGCCACAAGGAACTTCCCGGCCAATCTCAGCCGCCAAAAAGAGGCGTGCGCACGTGGTGAATGTGCCAACAGCGTCCGGCCGTCTGTCCTGTCCATCCCGTGCCATCCACCTGCCCTCCCGTCCGGCTGACCGAGCACTGGGCAGATCTGCTGGGGTTTTGCTGTTAGGCTAGGAGTCCCACCGCTGGCGGAGCTGCCGTAGCCTCCTGGCCCCTGAGCAGGTCCTTGTTCCTCAACAATTGAAACGAGAAGACGAAACAGGGGCTTACCTGCCACAGGCTCCGGAGCGGCTCAGATGCTGGCAGGGTCAGAAGAACCCCCGGTGCCCCGGCGGCCCAGGCTGCGGGACGCGGGCATCAACCTTTCTGCTGCAAGCGCGGGGCTGCACAGGCGCCTTGGAGCCAACCTGCACGCCAAGGTAGGCAGAGGCAGCGCAGTCTCTCCAGCGCCAGCGCCGTGGTGCCAGGCTGCCCGCCCGCCAGCCCCGGCCACCCGTCCGCAGGTGCACGGTCCTCGGCGTCCACCTCCGAGCTGCCCGCGACCGCTGGCACTTGGACGGCGGCGGCAGAGCAAGCCCGTGTTGAAATTTCCTGTGTAACTGTCTGTGCTCTGCGGAGGAGCTGCTGGGACTCTGCAGCCCGCGGCAGCTGCACCCGCGCCGTATCCCTGCCCACCACCGGTGCCACGCCTGGGCGGGGGGGCCTCCTCCGCTCCGCTCCCCTCCCCTCCCCGCCCGGCTGGGCGCGGTCAGGAGGATGTGGGGTGCGCGGGGCGACCGAGCCTCTGGTTTTCTTAGGGGCAGCGAGGGAGGAGGAGGAGTATAGGGACCGAGGCTTACAGCAGGCGTTGATCGGACGCTGCATTCCCAGGCAAAACAGATTCCTTTTTTTTGTGTGTGTTTTTTTTCTTAAGTTAAAAAAGAGCTTAAAAAAATCTGCTAACGGAACACATTTCCTTTTGCGCTGTGGATGCGTGAGGGTTGCGACATCTCTCAGTCTGCAGGCGGCAGGCGGGGGCATCCGGCGGCTCGGCTCCGCTCATCCGCAGCGAGCTTGGCGCTGGCCCGGTGCAACCTCAGGCCCCGGGCGCGGGACCCACCCGGGTCTCCCGCGGGCACGGGGCGCCAGGCGACCTCGCAGAGGGTGTGTCTGCGCTCGGCAGCGAGGCAGCCCGTGTTTGCAGAGGTCGTTTTCAACAACGAAAAACCCAGAGCCCGGTGGGGTCCCGTACACACCTGTCATCCCAGCACTGGGAGGCTGAGGCAGGAGAGTCTACTGTGAACTGGACAACAGCTTGGGCCGCAGAGCAATACCTGGTCACAGTAAGATAAAATAGGCCGGGTGTAGTGGTGCACGCCTGTAATCTCAGCACTCAGGAGGCTGAGGCAGGAGGATCATTGTGAGTTCGAGACCAGCCTGGGCTACAAAGTGAGCTCAAGGCCAGCCTGAACTGCACAGTGAGACTCTGTCTTGAAAACACACACACACACACACACACAAAAAAAGGTAGAATAAAATAAAATGTGCCAAAATGTAGAAATATGGTATGCTGCGCGGAAAGCCCTGGTGTACAGTAAGAACTGACATCGCCGACACTGCGGGGCGATCGCTGGCTCCCCTGGGGCGGGCTCGGGGCACCCTTGCTCTTTCTCCTGCTGGAGCCCTCGAGATTGCTTGGTGATCTCAGCGCTAGGTGAGGGGATGGTCCTCACTCGGCCTGCTGAGTCCGAGGCTGACCTCATATTCCCCCAAATAACGCAAATACGGAGCTCGTGCACCGCGGTGTCCAACGAAAGGGATCCGGGCTCCGTCCCCAGCACGAGGCGCAGCTGGGAGGAGGACACGGAGCCCGCAGCTCCAGGGCACACACGGGCACCTCTCACGCCCTCACCTTTTTCTCTGCGTTCTGATACGCCCACGGGCTCTGATGAGCCGCTATGGGGAAGCCACTGTCCTCCTCGTGTTCCAATAAAACTTTATTTTAAAAAGCAGCTTGGGGGCCGCGGAGGGCCACAGTCCTGGGTTTGTGGCTGTCTGCTGAGTGGCCCTTTACACATCATGGTTTCTACCTGGGTGTCCACCCCAAAGCCTCCTGGATCAAAGGTGGGTGGTGTGCAAGGAGATTCCTAGGATGAGGGGGTGCTCTGGCTGGTTTGGTCTTAGAGGCGGGGCCTGGTTGTCAGACAGGGTTATTTCCAGGGGCCTCAAACATGTCCACAGTTGGGGAAGTCCAGCTCAGCTCCTGAGGGGCCCGGCTGAGCCCTGGCCGGCCAGGGACCGTGGGAGGGCCTCTCGCGGCTGCTGTCAGCAGGGGAAGGGGGACAGGAAGTCCTGGGGCCCAGGGGAGCTCGCGGCCTGACGTGGACAGTGACAAAGGGCTGGTGGGTCCCGGAGGAAGGGAAAGACCGAAATAGAAACCCGGCCCAGCCCCCGCTGCCCCGGGAAGCCAGGCCAGGTGCTTGCAGGGCCCGGGCATGCCCGCTGTCCAGGTCAGGGCTCCAGGGCTGCTGACTGCTGCTGACCCTGGACATGCGCCGGGCACGCCTGGGCGAGGAGGCTGCTGGCTTCTCTCCAGGATGGGATGAGTCTCCCGGTGCGCCTGGCCAGGCCCGGGAGCCGTCTTCTGGTCCCACACGTGCCGCCTCCAGCACCGAATTTTTAAGGTGTTCACGTGAGACCGGGGTGAACGCGGCCATCTCAGGCTGCGTACGGAGATGTACTACTGCGCTCAGAGAAGACCTGGGGTGCAGCGTTGGACTCTCAGAAGACAGCCGTGCACCCCGACCTACACCCTTTGCAACAGGGACTTTATCCAGGAGCGCTGGGCGCTAAGCCAAGGACAGTGCCCTTGGGAAGATGCAGTACGGCTCCTCGCTCTGCTGGTGTGACATGCAGAAGATTTTAAATTTTTTTTTCATCTTTTAGAGACAGGGTCTCGCTCTGCAGGTCAGGCTGGCCTTGAGCTCACTTTGCAGCCCAGGCTGGTCTTGAACTCACAATGATTCTCCTGCCTCAGCCTCCCGAGTGCTGGGATTGCGGGCATGCTCCGCCGTGCCCGGCTTTAATTCGATATCGTCCCAGTTGTTAATGTTTGCTGTTACTTCTTGTGCAGTTGGGGCTGTTTTTCAGAAAGCCCTTGCAGGCACTTATGACTTCAAGAGTTTCACCTGTACTGCAGAATAAGTGAAAAAACAAAGAGACAGAGACGAGATGGGGACACAGAGGAGAAGGCGTGGGAAGACCAAGACAGAGACTGGAGCAATGGGGCCGCAGCCCAAGGCCACCTGGATCCCTGGGAAGAGGCAGAGGCAGGAAGGTCTCCCCGGGAGCTTGTGGAGGAGGCAGAGGCAGGAGGATCGCTGCGAGTTCAAGGACTGCCTGGGCTACAAAGTGAGCTCAAGGCCAGCCTGACCTGCATAGCGAGACCCTGCCTCAAAAAGGCAGAAAAAAAATAAGAAGTGGCCCAGAAAACCGAAGCCCAGGGCAGACGGCTTCCCTCCTGAAGCCTCCAGAGGCGCTGGGACCTGCAGTCCCATCCTGGCGCCGCACTCTCTTCTTTCTTTTATTTTTTGGTCTTTTTCCGGTACCGGGAATCGAACTCATGACGTCGCCAGGCATGCGCTGTGCCGCTGAGCTAAACTCCCAGCCCCTCTGGCACTGCACTCTGAGAACTGATCAGCATCCACGTCTGGGTTGGGTTGGGGCTCCCAGGCGGGATCAGTTATCGCGAGAGTAGGACAGTTGCTGGGAGATCTGGTTAATTATCGTGAGAGCAGAGCAGATCCACAGATCAGTTATCACGAGACTAGGATAGTTTCCCGAGGATGGGATTATTTATCGCGAGATCTGGTTGCTTTGAAAGGAATGGTTGATCTCTTTTCTGTCCTTCGCTCACCATGATTCCCTTTTTCGCATCAATGGTGTCTGGTCCTTGGGCTACAGGATGAGGTACAAGCCAGGCGACTCTGCCTGAGCCTAGACTTCCCAACCTGCAAAACTATGAACCAAAATAAAGCGTTTTCCCCACAGTCACCAGTGTCGGGTAACAACTACGGCGATGAAAATAACGATGACGATTATTTTGTGGTCTTGGGGATTGAAAACCCACAGCCTTTGCATGGAGCTACGCCATCAACCTTTAAACAAAACCAAACCAAAACAAAACAACAAAAGAATTTTGAAAAATTTTATTTGAGAAAGTCTGGCTAAATTGTGCAGCCTGGGAGATCCTCCTGCCTCAGCCTCCCAGAGGGCTGGATTGTAGGCACGCACCACCAGGCCCGGCTCAGGCTCGGATCATTTGCTTTGTGCTTTCCCCGTTCTCCTCCGCACAGATTTCAGCTGCGCCCTGTGTCAGGGAAGAAGTGCTGAGGTCCACAGGTTTCTGCACTCAGATGTGAGGTGAAGATTTGAAGACGGAGGTGACTCATGTCGAAGGTGCTGAGGCTAGGGCGGGTGCTGCCGGCCTTGGGGGTCCCGGGCTCAGGGCTCCTGCGGGCTCCAGGCTCCACCCATTTGCTGTTCTGGGGACGCACAGAGAAGCCGGGACCCCCAGGGCGCCTGCACGTGCAGACAGGGCCGGAGAAGGAGAAGAAACAGTCCGCGGCAGGGAGGGCGGAAGCTTCTTGCTCAAGTGTCCCAGTCCCACGGCTCGCCGGAGCAACCCTGGGCCCAGGAGCGCAGGTCACGGGGGCGGGACCACGCGGGGACCGCGCACTTCCAGGGGTCTCAGTCACTGAGGGTCTTGGGCACTCACACCCCGTCCTGAATGCCACGGCTGCACACGGGGGGCAGGAAGAGCGGGCTGCCCCTCAGAGCGGCAGGAGCCCCTCGGAGAGCGTGCTGGAAGCCCCTCAAGTTGAGGTTTGAGGGCAGATGCCCGGCAGGTGAGGATGCGGGAGGTGCTGTTCCCTGCACTTTGTAATTCATGTCCTCGAGGCTCGCAACAACTAAATCCTGCAAGCGGACTGTGTATCCGTGAGCAGATGAACGATTAAAGCAAACGTGCCGTTTGAGCACCATGGAATACTACTCTGCCACGAAAAAGGGTAAACTTGAGTCTCCCGTGGGAAAATGGGTGCACCTTGAGACCATGACGTGCACTGGACGAAATCAGACACACATCGTGTGGTTTCTCTCCTGTGAAAACAAAAACCCAAAGCGTGAATAAAGAGTGCGAGCAAAGAGAAATGGCAGGGAACAGGGCGAGCGCTCTGTTGCAGGAAGAAGAAGGGGCCAGGATGGCGGAGGCAGATAAGGAATGGGGAGGTCGTGAGTTCGATTCCCGGTACTGGAAAAAAACAAAAAACAAAAAGTAAGAGCAGCCCCCCTCGCGCCGGCCGGGACCCAGCCCAGGAGGCTCGCGTTAGCGTCCCCGCTGGGGGTGCCGCGCCCTGGACGCGGGGAGCCGCGCGGAGCTACAGCCGGGGATGGGGTGCTGGGGTGTTTACGCTCAGCCCCGACCACAGGCAGGCGGATGAGAGGGTGTGCCACGCCCTGGCCCCCGGGTGTCACCTCTGCAGGGCTTGGCTGGCACACAAGGCGGGGCGCGGGGCCCGGGAGGGGAAGGTCCTTCCGGTGGCCCGTGAAGCCCCAAGCTGGGGCGGAGACAGGGGGCAGGGGCCCCAGGCATGCGATTGGGGACCCGGCCTTGGCGTTGTTCCTCCCCTCTGCCGCCTCCCTGCGGGACAGGAACTGGGCCGCGGTCCCAGCCGCTCGGGAGGCTGAGGCGGGAGGATGGCGGGTCTGAGGCCGGTCCAGAGGACGTAGAGAGTCTGTCTCAAGCTGGGGTAGTAACAGGAGCTGCGCTGTGGGTGGTGAGAGGGCCAGAGAGCGAATGGCTGATCAGAGGAGCAGGCAGGCAGAGGCAGGAAGGTCTCCCCGGGCCTGTGGAGGGAGAAGTGGAGGATGGCAGTGGATTGAATGGTGGCCACTGAAGACGCGTCCACGTCCTGACCCCAAAACCTGGGCGGGGCCTGCGTGGAAAGAGGGTCTCTGCAGAGGGAATCTGTGGGGGATCTGGAGAGGAGACCCTCCTGCCTCAGCCTCCTGAGTCTACAGCAGCGTGTGTCGGACTCCTGGGGCTTTTCTCCGAGGGCCTGGGGTGCATTCACACGGTCAGGGAGGCACCGCCTCTGTCTAGTTCCGGCCTGTTCCCGTCCCCTGGAGTGAGACCTGGTCCCCTTACCCAGGGCCCGGCCAGCGCTAACCCCCTTCTTGCATCTGTGGGTTTGCGTGTTCCCTCAGTTCCTATCAGTGGAATCCCACGCTGTGCTCCTGTCTCTCAGCACCCCACCTGCGTTGTAAGAGGACTCTGAGCTTTGTTCCTTTCCGTGGGTGCATAATATTCCAGTCCCTGACAGTGTCATAGGATAGCGTGGGCCTTTAGCTGTATGTA